AAAAAAAAAAAGAAAAAGAAAAAAGAAAAGAAAAGAAAAGAAAAAGAAAAAAAGAAAAGCCATCCTTGAAAGGGATCTTCCTCAGGCCTGGCCAATGCCTTTGCAGGGCTAGGCCCGCTCCCCACAGATGCCCGCTTTGTCACAAGTGAACTGTTGATTCTCAGCCCCATGGGTTCCTCTCCAGATTCCAGAAAGATCTGCCCCATACGTCAGATAGGGGAAGGACATCGGATACTTTCTGGCTGGAATCTGTCCTCCCGATTTTCCCCAGACTCGTGACAGCGACTCCGAGGACGATGTCGCCAGCTCTCGCTCAGAGGACAGTGCTGAACCTGCTGCGGAGGCCACAGGCACAAGCAGGGACTGTGTCCCAAAAGTCACCGCCTTTGTCTTGGGCTTGAAAGCCGCCATGGAGCCCTTTTCCTCCTCCATGGGGAAGGTCCTGGTGACCCTTCTCCTGGGCTTGGCAGGTACCGCGGCATCCCGTGCCAGTGCTGGGCTTCCAGGGGATGGGCAGGCCCGAGGGCCGGCAGCAGGCAGCAGTTTGCTGGGGACAGTGGAGGGAGAGGGGGTGTGCCAGCTCAGGACCATGCGAGCTCCTGGGAGTGACTCGTGGGGCGGGTTAGGGTTACTGCTGTGGGCGGAGGGCAAGGAGCTCTCGGGAGGGGCTCCAGCCGTCCTGGGAAGCACGACCGACGTGGGGCCTGCAGGGCCCCCACCCCGGAGCCCCGGGGACGCTGCCACCCTGTGTGCTGCCTGTGGGAGGGTCGGGGTAGCTTTTCCTGACTTGGTCTTGGAGTGCGAGCGGGCAGGGGTGACCAGGGCTGCCAGTCACGCAGAGGTGCGCTGTCTCCTCAGGGATGGTGGTGCCTTCCCTGCCCTCGGCCGTGTACTTCGGGGCCTTCCTAGGCCTGGGCTCCTGGTGGGCTTGCGGTCAGGCTCTGAGCGCCATGGCCTTCAGCATGCTCTGTGTCTTCATGGCCGTCTTCACCGCTGGCCACCTGACGAGCCTGTACCTCTACCAGCTGCCCTTCCTCCAGAACCTCGTGCCTCCCAACGACATCTATGCCAGGTGACATGCCCATTGTCACCACCACCATGCACGGGGTGGCCTTTGACCCCCCCCCAGAGTCAGTTTCTAACTGACCTCCAAGCCCTTTCCTGGTGCTGTTTTCTTGAGCACTTAAGTGGAAGGGTATGGGCAACTTGGGTGTACCCCCCAGTCCCGGAAACCAGGAGTGAGACGGGAGCTGCTCAGGGAGAGACCAGGGCCGAGGGGAATTGTAACCACACACACCTACGGCTAACCCGTGATCACACCTGCCTGGAGGGGACAGCCCCATCTCCTCCCTGTCCTTGGCCACCCGTGGTCCTCCTTCTTTCCCCCCTTCCTTACCCCCTTCCTTCCCCCCTTCCTTCCTCCCTTCCTTCCTCCCTTCCTTTCCCCCTTCCTTTTCCCCTTCCTTTCCCCCTTCCTTTCCCCCTTCCTTCCTCCCTTCCTTTCCCCCTTCCTTCCAAAAACCTGCAATATGGTTCTGTCTTGTTCCGGGCCCCAGCCCAGGTGGCTGGGGACATGGGGACAAACAGGAAACGCACGGTCTCCAGGCTGTGCTCTCCAACTGGCTTCTACCACCTTCCGGAGAGGGAGTACCTCACAGCTGGGTGCCAGGCTGAGGACATGGCAAGAGCTGCACTGCCCATGGGAGGCAGATGGGTGCAGTGATGAGAGCTGCAGGGAAGGGGCAGGGCTGCCCAGTACACGTGCTGGGGAAGAAGGGTCTGGTGAGGCAGCGAGGGGCGGGCCAAAGCGACCCTGACCGTCCCCACGTTCTCGCCCCGAGTCATCCCAGCCCTGAGGAAAGGCCAGTGAGGGCAGAGAAGGCTAGGGCGAGGGTGCTGCCAGGAGAGGTGCAGGGCCTGGGCGTCCATACAGCATTGGTGACTTCCCGGTGGGCCGTGTGCACACAGGCTGCTGGGCATGACTGCTCTCACCAGGACCAACCGCACAGAGCCCTGGAGGCTCCTCCTCCAGCCAGACTCCGACTGGCCAGAGATGGTGCACCCTCTGATTCTGCTGCTATCCTACTACACGCTGGTCCTCCTGCTACCACAGTGGGCTCCACAGTCTGGGGTGAGTGGCCCCAGAAGGGTAAGAGCACTGGTCACTTTCCCATTCCTACAGAGGCGAGCAAGTCAACAGGCAGCTTTTTACTAAAGTGTGAATGACTGATAGTTGCTTCCTGGGTTTCTCTGTCCGTGGTAGGAAGTAGATCAGGTGCAATGGTGTGGAGTGGGAGAAGAGAAGATTGAGGCGATGGGGCTGTTGCCTTAGGATGTTTGAAGAGCGGCTGTGTGGTCCAGGCAGCTGGTCTGTCTTCACTTAGCACCAGGGAACGAAAGGAAGGAGGGAAGGAATGGGTTACAGGAGGCACGTTTGCGCAGGTTTTCTAGCGTCAGTTTAAAATATTCTGCCCCGTGACCCAGCCTGCGTGATGCACCCACAGTGCGTCAGACTGCAGTGTGGAAGCCACGTGGCCAACCGTGGATTCGGATCCTAACCAGCCCGAAATGCACCTGGTGTGTGCTTGGGTGGCCCCATCCCTGCAGTGCCGGAGGGCTGGGGAAAGGCGATGGTGGTGCGATAGGACCCCACCGAGAGCCTCGCGGGCGCATGTGCACACCGCACTGCTACGGAAACAAAGGAGGACGAAAGCCGCCCTGCGCTCCTGCGGCGGGCTTCTAGCACACTGAAGTCTCACGGCGGACCTCTACAGGAGGCTGAGGACTAGAAACCCGTGTTTTCCTGCAGAAACAGGAAGAGGAGGTGGAGGTGCTGTCTGCGGAGCCAGGCGGCAGAAGTGCAGGCCTGGGGCTGCGCTCTGTGCTGTGTGTGTCGGGCTGCGTGGGAGACCAGGGGAGGCGTCCTCACAGGTGTACGCACCTCCATGTGCCACGGCGGCTGCAGGTGTCTCTTACAGACAGCAGGATGATGACGGTAAGAGCCACAGCAAGTCCATCACTGAGGGTTTTCTCACCTCTGGAACAAACTCAGGCATTTACAGAATCTCCCTCCTCATTCTGAAGATGAGGAGCCTGAAGGGGGGGAGCACTCGCTCAGATTCCAACAGAATTAAGTGGTAATGGTAAGAAGGGGATTCGAATCCAGGCAGTGTGACCCCAGAGCTTAGCACATGGAAGATGGGAGGCCCGCAGTGGAAATAGATCCAGAGTTGGGTCAAAACAAAGCACAACATAAAGACCGGGCTCCAGAAGCCAGGGTGGCAGCGGTGGGTGCTCACCACCACCAGCGCCGACTGGAGCGTTGGGCTGCAGCCAGCACCCGCACAGGGCTCAGGGCTTGCCTAGCGGACAAGGCTTGGCCTCTGCCCTCCGCACAGGTGGCGTCTGGCGCCCATGCAAGATTCATTGCTTTGCTTGACAGCCCTTGTGGGGACGCTGAAGCAGCAGGGGGCTTGGGCTCTGGGTGGTGGCCTGGTGGCCAGGGCTGGCTGGCAGACACTGCTCATTTGCAGATGCAGAGCTGGGCGGGGCAGGGCGGGGCGTCCCCAGGAGCAAATCACTTGGCGAGGTCACAAATGCAGTTTCCTCCAACCCTGATAAAAGCCGTCCGTCTTGTGCACAGTTGGATGAGTGATTGCCACACCGCTTACTCCAGGGTGATTATACGCCTGCCCCCCCCCGATGAGATAGGAGCCCATCCTTCATCGGTGTCGGCGTCACCCCATGACAGCACCAGCACCCAGGACTGAGGGACCCTGGGATGATTAGTAATGCACGAAAGGAGGTCTGCAGTGGACAGCCAGCTGCGCCTCCGAGAGGCGCAAACATGGCTGACCCACCGTATGGCCCCTTTTTGCTGATGCCGGGCCGAGAACCCACCTCCCCAGGTGTCTAATCCACGTGGGGGCCATCACTGCGCATAGCCAAGCTGAGCTCCACAGCAGCCCCGGAGCCGCCCTGCATCTGCGTGCAGAACCGGGGGCACCAGGAGGCTTCTGCAGCTCTTTGACCACCCCCACGCCTGGCCTAACACAGTGCTCTGGACGCAGGCGTATTTAATAATGACCTGCTCATTCCATTTTGCATTTCACAGCCCGCTCTAGGAGGAGGGCAAACAGAAGGGTGTAATTAATATACCATAGATGAATTGATTCATCTCTTCCCCCACGAAGCTGGGCTAGGATCGGACTGCCTCAGACCTGTCTCACAGTGCTGCTCAGGATGGAAAGCTCAAAAATAGAATCCACTAGATTAGTTAAACAGAAAGCTAACAACCCCAACAAGTTGCAGCTGCTTGCCATGTCTTCCAGATGCTTCCTCTTTGTTTAGGGGCTACATCCAGGTAGGACCCCAAGCCCAAGGCCCTGTCCCCCATGACTGCCCAGGACACCCTCCATCCCCCGCCCCGTGGCTCTCTTCCTATTTCATCCAAGTAAGAACCTTATTTTGTGATATTCGGATGAGCGGGGAGCTGAGCTTTCCTCCGGCAGGTTTAAGAGCCACCTGAGGCAGAGCCTCGTGGGTGATGGGCGCCACACTCCTCACCAGCGGACCGAGCTCCTTGCTCCTTAGCCCGGCAGCAACCTGAGCTTGTCCGTCACTGGCTTGCTCCTCTCTGATTCTCTGAGCAGTAGGCGTCTCTTTAAACTCACGCACACGATGCGTTTTAAAGAGCGTTTTCTGCACAGGCCTGCTTGCAGCGCTGTGGCTCCAAGCACGGTGGTGTGTGTCTCCTAAGTACGCGGCACCCTGCTGAGTGTGGCTGAGCGCCCCAAGGCTTGGAGCGGAGGCGGCTGTTACATGCCGGTGCTGGGTGACTGGCCTATGTGAGACCTGGGCTCGGGGCTGCTGAGGCTGCGAGGCAGGGCTCCTGTCCTCCTGCAGCCGCTGAGACTGAGTGGGCATAGCTAAGCGTGGGAGCAGAGACAGAACCTCGTCTCATCAGGAGCGTCCTTGTGGCTTGGTCTTGGGAGGTGGAGGCTGGGCATCTCTGGGTCTCACATCAGCTCAGTAAGGGATGCTGGACCGAAGCCAGCTAATCTGGCAGGAGTTCTTGGAGGAAGGGATTGGCTTGAAGGATGAGTCGAGGCTGTATCAGGCAGCTGGGGAAGAGTGCTCCCGGCTGGGGACTGGCCCCACAAGGCATGGAGTAAGCAGCCCCCAAGCACAGGCCAGCATGAGGATTAAGCCAGCCGTCCTGAGGGTCCTGAGACCTCGCCGCCGCCAGCCAGACTCAGGATTTACCCCCACACCTGGCTTCCGCCCCAGTGAGCAGTGTGTCTGTCCATCCCATGTGCAAGCATGTTCCTCCCCTTGCCCTCAGCCCATGTCTAATCTCCTGCAAAAATGCTTGCACACCGTCCTCAATTTCTCTGGTATCACCCACTTCCCTCTTCACTCCACCTCAGCCCCCAGTCCACACTCCCGATTTTCCGTGTACCCGCACTGTCCCCCCAGCCTGTATAGACGCTTGTCTCCTCTCATCGGTCCTTCGCATCAGGCCACGGAAGATGTCCTTTCTGTCTAGAGCCTTCTATGGCTCCTTTGAGCTCTCAGGATAACGGCCCTCGTGCTGGGGCAGCTCCGGTGCTCCACGCAGTGGCCTGTCCTGCGTGAGGCAGCCGTGGCCCCCTTGATCTCTGCACTCCAGCCCCTCTGGCTTCTTCCTGAAACCCTCCTCGCTGGGAGTCATGCGCTCCCCTCCTGGCTCAGGCTTTATTTCCCTCCACCCTGTTCTCACCTCCTCCAAGAAGCTTCCTTCTGACTTCTCTGACTGGGTCAGTCCCTGACGGTAGGCTCTGTGCCCACTGTGTGCCTCTGATCTTGGCCCCGACCACAGCCATAATGCCAGTCTGCACGTGGCCCCCTGGGCCTGTCTCTGCTCCCCAGCTGTTTGCGGGCTCAGGGCTGTTTCCAGCCATGGCTGTATGCGTGATGTGTGGTGTGCTCATGAGTGGATGGACACATGGAACCCGGGAATGGCCAGAGACTCCCAGAGTGGCTGACATGCTGGGGGGGCTGCTGTTGCCATGGGAAGAGCTCCAGAGCAGAGGCACCCCCACGATTATCCTCTCAGAAGTCCAGTGAAGGAGCCAGCTGGTGGTTAGGGTGTTGAACTCCCACATGGGCAACCGTGGTTCAAGTCCTGGACCTGGCGGCTTGCTTTCTCACTTTCTCTTTCTCTCTCTGGTCAAATGAATGATAATAATATTAATAATAACAAATAAAATAAATAATTAATAAAATAAAAAACCTTAAAAGAAGCTCAGTGAAGAGGGAGGAAGGAAGCAGCAGGTCTGGTTAGAATGAGCAGCTTTGAGGCCACGGTGGCCCTGTAGGTGTGGCTGAGTCCAACGTGCTGGTCATGAAGTGGGAGAGGAGAGGAGGCAGGCCAGATGCTCAGCTGACAAGCAGGCGCCAGGTGCCCCAAGTTTCATGTGGTTTTGGTACAAATTGTCACCAAAGAGGAACCGAAGACAGCTCTCCCTGCTGGCCTCCCCATGGGCAGACCCAAGTCTGGATCCATCTCGGGTGACATGAAGGTCACCATGCGCTGACCTCCCACACAGGGCAGCCCTGAGCAGCCCTGTCTCCTTCTCTAGGTAAGGTCCTTCCTGAAGGGCAGCGGCCAGGAACTGCCCGCTGTGCACCATGAGCAGCGCCAGGGGCAGAGCACGGGCCCGGACGCACCACCTCCCTGTGGGCCGGAGCGGAGGATCACCTTCCCAGGTACAAGCCTGCACACCCCCAGGCCTCCAGGCCCCAACTGTGCCACCTCCGAGGCTCCCCTCACCCGGGCCGGCAGCAGTGGGAGGGAAAGGCCTGGGTCTCCCTGGGTGGAGCTCTCTCCATCTCAGCAAGGTCTCGGGACTGGTGGCCATGCCGCAGGGGCCCTGGGCATTGGCTGGTCACTCCTGAGCGTGCTAAGGCCACGGGCAGCATAAGCCGGTCATACCTCTGTTCCCTTGGGCAAGGATAGTCAGAGTGGGAGGCTGCAGGCCAGTTGAGGGTCCTCTAAAGGCGAGGGCAAAAATTGTGGGAGGCGTGAACCTGGCGTGCCCTCCAGCCTTCGCCTCGCACCCTGTGGTCCCTCCCCAGAGGCCGAGCAAGCCTTGTGCACAGGCACGGTCATGTCCTTGGCTCACGGATGAGGACATGGAGGGCCGCGCCATTAGGGACCTGGCCACGGGAAGCCATGTCTGGCTTATTTAAGCCCATACTTTCACTGTCATGTACACAGGGTTTCCCAGCCCACCTTTGGTGCCAGGTGGTTCTGAGTCGGGACTTCCCATGCACGGATCCTTCCAGCAATGCCCTCACTGTGCCCACCAGAGGCCAGAACAGCCCCCAACAATGAACAGGCACATCGCCACATGGCGCCGAACGTCCCTGTGGCCAGGATCTCTGTCCCAGACTCACCTTTGCGAGAGGCCTGTGGTGGCCACAGGAGTGAGGTGGCCTGCCTCCTCTCCCTGTCCTCAGCCTGCTGGAAGCAGACATGCCCTGTCCCATGGGAGACTGGTTGGCTCTACAACCATTTCTGTGGGTCGCCTCTGTCCAACCACACTGGGCTCCCCTGGGGAGGAGGAAAGACTCCGCCTCTTTCTGGCCTCAGCGGCACCCGGCAAGGCCCCGGTCATGGCTCCCCGAAGGATCAATCACCGTATTTGCTGAGGAGGATCTCTAAAGCTGCATTGGGGGACCGCACAGGGACTCCCATCTCACTTACCGGTCATGCAGATCCCCACCCAGAGCTCAGCAGTCGCCAGGCCCTAGGCACGTGCAGGAGTATGGCCTCGCGCTGCCAGGGTGGCGTGAGAACACCGTCTGCAGAGCCGGCCTCCGAGGGCGCAGCGTGTGCCCCAGGAGAGGTTGTGGGGCATCAGGCTGACTCCTGGTCAGCTCTCTGCTGCCCGGCAGGAGGTCCCGAGCCCCGTGTGGACGGCAGCCTCTGCCCAGGGCCCACCTGTGCACCAAGCCTCCTGCCCCAGAGGCCCTTCTGCAGCTGACAGTGTTCTTATTACAGGACCCACTGGCGCCCCCACGGAGTCAGCGGTCCCAGGCTCGGGGCCAAGCAGCGTCTGGGTCGTGGGCCACCTGGCCACGAGACACAGCTATGTCACTGCACCGATAGCCATGATGGTGAGCCAAAGGTTGCTCTGGTGGGTGATCTTGAGGACAGAGGCCACTGAGTTTCCCTGGTCAGGGGATGTCCCCCGCCTCCAGTGTGCTTGGTCCCAACTTGGAGGGACAGCTCAGGGATGGGGAGGCCTTTGGTGTCTGTGACGGAATCCCCAGACTTGCCGGCTTTTCATCCATGCTCTGGGCTGGGAGCAGAGGGGTAGGGCGGAGGCCTGGTGGGGCGCTGTGGCTGCGACCGCCCCACCTCCGTCACCAAGGCAGGAAGCGCAGCCCTCCTTGGAGAGTCCCACGGTGGTCTGGACTCTCAAAGGGCATCCTCGCTCCCCGTCACTGGTCAGGATATGACCCTCCACAGTGCACGCTGACACTGGGCAGTGGCTGGCAGCCTTGGGCTGAAGGTGGGGACCTTGAGCTCCCAACTCAGAGCAGAGCTCGGGTCCCACTGCAGGTAGAATGCAATTCGCCCAAGTTGGAATCCTGGGGTCTGAGCCGGGCCGTTAGCATGGGGAGAGCCCTGCTTGAGGCACCTGACTGCAAGGTCACGCTCCTGGGGGAGGCTGGGTTTAGATGCTCCTGGGGGAGGCTGGGTTTAGACGCTCCTGGTGGGGGACTGCATTTAGACGCTCCTAGGAGGGCCCTGGGAGCTGGTTCCTGAGTTGCCGCTGGCCCTGCAGGTGTGGAGCGTCACCCACACCAGCTGGCTGGGTTTCATCCTTCTACTCTGGGCCTGTGTCATCTGGATGGTCCGAGACCGCCGCCACCTGGCCCTGTTCAGCGCGCCCTGCCTGGTCCTCTACGCCGACCTCCTCGTCCTCCTCACGTTTGTCGTGGGGCTCCGCCTGTCACCGGATGAGCTGTTTCCGGGCGTCCCTGACTGGCTCCTTGTTGACCTGGACCTCATGCCCTACCCCCGGCCATGCCTCCACCTTTGTGCCAAGGTAGAGCCAGCCTCCCCCTGCACCCTGAGCCGGGCATGGGCCTGGGGTGGGGAGCCAGCAGCAAGGGAAGGCCCAGCAGGGCCTAGGAACCATGGGACTACGGAGGGGAGAGACTTCCATTTCAAAGAAGACCACAGCTGTAGGCCAAGGCCAAGGAGTGTGTGGAGAGGGAGAGCGGCCCTGTAGCAGGGATCCCAGGGCCCTGGGACCCGGCCTCGGTCCTGGGCACCATCTTCCTCTGTAGGATGGGGAGGGGGTTGGCAGCATGAGCCCCAGGGCCCCTGCACCCCGTACCTCATCATGGTCTGATGTCCACCTCAGAGATGTGACCTGGCCGTGGCAGCAAGGGACAAGTATGTCCCTGGTCACTCCCAGTGCCCGCTTTGCCCTGAGCTCTGTGGCTTGTTGAGACGGTGAAGCCTTAGACAAAATGGAAACCCACACGGCACTCCTGGCCGGTGGCAGGATGGCACCACCACAGCCACACCGGGGGCTGCAGAGAGGCAGGGGCTCTCTTCTGCTTCCCTACAGAGTCTCTACACATCCGTGTTCTGGTCGCTGCTGCGGCAGAAGGTCCTGGAGAGGCGGGGGCTGGTGGCAGCTGAGGACCAGGGCCAGAGGGAAGACTGTGGTGAAGCAAGTGGTGAGGACCCTGGATAGCCACCTCCCGCCCCAGGGGCCTGGCTGACATTTGAGTGCTTTCAAGTTAAACGTTACTCCTGGGAAGCCTAGATCTTGGGCAAGGTGGGGAAAGGGCCCCAAGTCCGCTCAGCAGCTCCCGGAGGGTACACGAGGCAGCAGCTCAGGCAGGCCCAGCTGAGCTGTCCAGGGAGGTGCCTGGTTCCGGGAACAAGGCTGTTCCATCCGGGACTCTGTCCTTTGCAGCTTTGGGTCTGGAATTCTCTGGCCATAGGTGAGATTTGAGCTACATCTCCTCTTCTGAAGAGAAAGAACTGTTGCCCAGGGTGGTGGGGCAAGGAGGGGCCTTCAGCAGAGGTCCCCGACCCGTTAGTTGGGCCCTCCGGTGGCACCAAGAACCCCTGGGGGCAGCCCCTCCCCGAGCTGACCGAGTCTGGGAGGGGGTAAGGGGGGGCAGAGAGCAAGTCAGCCCTGACTGCCTCCTCCCCCACCCTGCACACAGGCCTGGTGTGGCCGGGCAGCACCCTCCTGGACACCCTTGGCTCCTTCCTCAAGGGCCTCCTGGCCAAGTACTGGATCTTTGTCTGCACGGCCATGTTCTTCCTCGTCAGCTTCCGCGGCAAGGTGGTGGCCTACAAGGTCATCTATGTGACTCTCTTCCTATCCTGGGTGGCCTTGTACCAGGTAAGCCATGTGCGTAAAGCTGCCACTGCCCAGCCCTCCCGAGCCTGGGTCCCCTGGCCTGCGGTTCTGGCCTCAGATCTGCCCAGCGTCCATGCGACATGGGGCAGGGCCACCTCAGGGCAGAGATGCTCACCCCATCCCACCGTTGCTGTCCCCGTCACTGTCCCTGTCACTGTCCCATCGCCATGGGGGGGTGTGCTGCTCATGGGAGTCACTCACTTGGTCTCAGTCAAGCGTCTGACCCCAGAAGAAGCAGAAGTCACAGGACATTGGTTAGGTAGGTTAGTGGTGACAGAGCAGAAGGGCAGGGGACAGGGCGTGGGGGCGGGAGCTGGGCCATGTGGCTGTGCATTAGGTGACGTGGACCCCAGCCTGGTGCCTATTCCATGTGGCAGGCCCAGGAGCACACAGGGGGGGCCCAGGTGAACTTCAGGTCCTCGCCCTCAGGTTCCAGCTGCTTGGTACCTCTGGCGTTGGCACTGCTGCCGTTTCTGGAGGACAGGGCTCGGAGGACGGCCCCACGGAGGCCGGTAGCCTTGGCTTGCAGCCCTCGCCCGCCCGTCCACCTTCTGGCTTCTGCTGTCTCACAGTGGTGGGCGATATGGGGTAGAGGCCCAGGGAGAAGCCACTGGGAGCCAGCTGGCATCTGTCCATGAGGTCACGTGGCCTGCAGCACCGCCACTCACCAGCACGTCCCTCCAGAGCACCAGGGTTCTCAGCGGGTTCTCAGTGGGCAGGGACAGGTGTGTTTCCTCTGTGCAAGAGACAGAGTGAGGTTTCCAACTCCACCAAAATCGCTCGAGAAGCATGAGCCTCCCAACCTGAGGGCTCTGCTTCCCTCACAGGCCCTTCCTGTCACTTTGAGCCTGCCCTTTCTGCGGGGGGCTCAGCTAAAGGCACTTCATTTTGAAAACAAGAGACCTGCTCCGTGGCGGTGTGTCCCACACTGTAGACCCGCCTTTGAGAATGAGCTTGTCCTGTACCGGCGAAGCTCCCAGTGGAGAATCTGCTCTGCGGGAGGGTGCCCTTCCCATGGCTGAGCCCTGTCGTCTACCCATCCATGCGACCCCCATGGAGAGTCTCATCAGGGCCCACCTGAATTGCAGATGCACTACGAGTCCTGGCGTCGGATCCTGAAGCCCTTCTGGGTGGTCATGGTGTCTTACTCGATGGTGGTCCTAGTAGCTGTCTACACGTACCAGTTTCAGAGTATGGCTGGATTTTTCAACAAGACGCTGGGGTTGTCTGAAGAGGGGTAAGAAGACTTTGGCTTTTGGGCTCACAGGGAGAGGACCCTGCAGACTGATGTGCCAAAGGTCTTTCATCCTGCCGGAAGGCATGGGCTTCTGCAGTCAGGGGCAGGTGGGGTCCGACTGACGCCAGGCGTGGCCTTCTGGGCGGACGCTCGTAGAGAACATGGACCCTCTCAGGCTCCCCATGGGGCTGTCGTGAATAGGGAAAGTGCTGGGGGTGTTGAGTAAGGGCCCATCTAGTCAGCTTCATCTTCTCTGGGGCCCCTCTGCTGAGCTCCCAGGTCCTTATGGTCTTCAGAGATGCCTCTGCCAGCTCCCAGGCTTCAAGGCTGGAGCGCCCATCCAAAGTCCATCACATGACCCCTTCAGCCTTTGCTTCTGGGGCACTGTAGGGGGTCCCTGAACCTATGGACTGGAACCCCTTGGTGTGCCCGCTCCTCAGTGTTTCCCCAGACCCTCACCAACACTGACCTCAGCCCAGACCTCTTGATTCTGACCATGAGTCAAGTACAGCCCAGAGCCCACGTGCTTGGTGTCTCTCGGAGGGTGCGGGGCTTTCTCAGGCCAAGTGAGCCCTGGGAGAGTCCGAAGCGGCACCACCTAAGCCCGTGCGCGTCCTTTGCAACCAACTGCCATTGGGTTGTTGGGGAAGGGGTGCGGGCCGTCTCTGTGTAGGACTCGGGGAGAGACGTCTTCTCGGCCCTCGGGGCTCTCTCCTCTTCCCCTGTCCCAGGCTGGGGGAGGTGGGCCTGCAGCGGTTCGACACCGCGGAGCTGTTCGCCGAGACCACGCTGCCTGCTGTGTTTCTGCTGCTGTGCATCCTCCAGCTTCATTACTTCCACGAAGACTTCCTGGAGACCACCAGCCTACAAAGTGCCCCGGGGCAGCGGAGGGACACACCTGGCAGGTACTGCTGTGTCTGGGGGCATCGGAGATTCTGCTCAGAGCCCAGAACACGGCTCGGCCTGGCACAGGGCTCTTTGAAGAACGTCCTCTCCCCCAGCCATCCACTGGGAGTGCTCGTCCAAGTTCCTGGGGTGGGGGGGCTGAAAGCTCGTGTGTCTCTGCAGGGAGGCAGAAAAGACAGGGCGTTTTCTTTTCTTAGTCACCCCAGGTCCAGACAACCCGCGGCCCCGCTGAGTTGGCGGGGTCACTCCTGCTGGGTGGCCTTTGCTCAGGGTCTCTGAGAACCACTTGAGAGCAGAGCATCTGCCCATGCGTTTTCGTTACGCCTAAGGATTTGTTTTATTTTCATTTTTACCTTTCTGTACTTGAACTAAATTAAGATGTTGGCTGTGAAACTGGTTTTTAAAGGGTTTCTAATTTTTAGATTGAGTCACTCACACGTTTGGGTATTTTGCAGAGTTCTTATTTAAAGGTGGCAGGATGCCAAAGCAATTCGTTTTCTCACTAAGAAGAATTAGGGCCCCACGGTCCTCTGATGCCCCAATCTGTTTTCCAATCCAACTGCGATAACCGTACCACCTCATATAGAAAAGGGCACAAGACATTTTTTATTCTTTCTCCCCCAGGGACTATGAAACGCTCTTTTTTGTCAACATCATGAGGTTTGCTTTTGGCTTCTACCCTGTTTTGTTCACACCCGGGGTGGGAGTTGAAAGCTTCGGGAGCGGTGGAGTCACCGGGTCTGTGGGGAGCTGGAAGCCACACAGACGTGGAGTGCGTCTCTCTGCTCCCTGAAGTGATGGGCGACACTAAACCGAGCCCCCGGAGAGTGAGGAGGATACTCGGGGAGAAATGACAGCCTCTGAGCCACAGGGACCCATGCGGAACTCGCTGAATGAGTGGAGGTCGCAGGTGGTGGTTCTTGTTTTTTATTTTTAAGAATTATTTATTTTATTTTATTTATTATTTTTTTTTAATTTGATCAGTGAGAGACAGAGAGAGAGAGAGAGAGGGAAAGGAAAGCAAGAAGCAAGCCACCAGGTCTGGGACTTGAACCAGACCTCTTGATTCTGACCATGAGTCAAGTACAGCCCAGAGCCCACGTGCTTGGTGTCTCTCGGAGGGTGCGGGGCTTTCTCAGGCCAAGTGAGCCCTGGGAGAGTCCGAAGCGGCACCACCTAAGCCCGTGCGCGTCCTTTGCAACCAACTGCCATTGGGTTGTTGGGGAAGGGGTGCGGGCCGTCTCTGTGTAGGACTCGGGGAGAGACGTCTTCTCGGCCCTCGGGGCTCTCTCCTCTTCCCCTGTCCCAGGCTGGGGGAGGTGGGCCTGCAGCGGTTCGACACCGCGGAGCTGTTCGCCGAGACCACGCTGCCTGCTGTGTTTCTGCTGCTGTGCATCCTCCAGCTTCATTACTTCCACGAAGACTTCCTGGAGACCACCAGCCTACAAAGTGCCCCGGGGCAGCGGAGGGACACACCTGGCAGGTACTGCTGTGTCTGGGGGCATCGGAGATTCTGCTCAGAGCCCAGAACACGGCTCGGCCTGGCACAGGGCTCTTTGAAGAACGTCCTCTCCCCCAGCCATCCACTGGGAGTGCTCGTCCAAGTTCCTGGGGTGGGGGGGCTGAAAGCTCGTGTGTCTCTGCAGGGAGGCAGAAAAGACAGGGCGTTTTCTTTTCTTAGTCACCCCAGGTCCAGACAACCCGCGGCCCCGCTGAGTTGGCGGGGTCACTCCTGCTGGGTGGCCTTTGCTCAGGGTCTCTGAGAACCACTTGAGAGCAGAGCATCTGCCCATGCGTTTTCGTTACGCCTAAGGATTTGTTTTATTTTCATTTTTACCTTTCTGTACTTGAACTAAATTAAGATGTTGGCTGTGAAACTGGTTTTTAAAGGGTTTCTAATTTTTAGATTGAGTCACTCACACGTTTGGGTATTTTGCAGAGTTCTTATTTAAAGGTGGCAGGATGCCAAAGCAATTCGTTTTCTCACTAAGAAGAATTAGGGCCCCACGGTCCTCTGATGCCCCAATCTGTTTTCCAATCCAACTGCGATAACCGTACCACCTCATATAGAAAAGGGCACAAGACATTTTTTATTCTTTCTCCCCCAGGGACTATGAAACGCTCTTTTTTGTCAACATCATGAGGTTTGCTTTTGGCTTCTACCCTGTTTTGTTCACACCCGGGGTGGGAGTTGAAAGCTTCGGGAGCGGTGGAGTCACCGGGTCTGTGGGGAGCTGGAAGCCACACAGACGTGGAGTGCGTCTCTCTGCTCCCTGAAGTGATGGGCGACACTAAACCGAGCCCCCGGAGAGTGAGGAGGATACTCGGGGAGAAATGACAGCCTCTGAGCCACAGGGACCCATGCGGAACTCGCTGAATGAGTGGAGGTCGCAGGTGGTGGTTCTTGTTTTTTATTTTTAAGAATTATTTATTTTATTTTATTTATTATTTTTTTTTAATTTGATCAGTGAGAGACAGAGAGAGAGAGAGAGAGGGAAAGGAAAGCAAGAAGCAAGCCACCAGGTCTGGGACTTGAACCGTGGTCATCCACATGAGAGTTGAGCACTTAAGCCGCCATGTCATCTGCTGGCCCCACAGGTGATGGTCCCTACCACAGGGAGGAGATTGGCCATGCTCAGGGACCCAGCTGTCCACAGAAGGAACGTGGCCACCAGTCCTGGGCCCTTCTGTACGTGCCTCTTTGGGTTTGGGCCCATGATGCCCACCTGGCTCCTGCCATGGCCTGCTCCTAGGGCCCGTCTCATCCTTTGGAGGTCACCAGCAGGGAACAGAGGTCCATCACTAGGGGACTGGTCACACAAACGGTGGTCCACCTCAGCAGCAGAGTGCTATGCAGCTGTCAGAAAGAATGAGGCAGGGCCAGCCGGTGGCGGGTCGTTAAGGCGCTGGAGTCCCACCTGCCGACTGCAGTTCAGGCCCCAGGCTGGCAGCTTGGCCCCAGACTGGCCCTGCCAGGCATGTGTGCACATGTCCAGAATCCCAGGAGAATGGAGGAGAAGGGACTGTGGCATGGCCGCCCTCCCTGGGATGATTTCTCACTTTCTGTCTCTGTCTCTCTCAGAGTGAGGCAGCTTTCTCTACCATCTGCAGTGAGGTTCAAGACACATTACAGAGGGAAGAAAGCCAAGAGTAGACAGAGCACTGTGCGGAGAATGTGCTGCCATTTATTTGAGATAAAGATATACACGCACTGGGGCCAGCATTTGGCATGGTGGTTAAGCGGCTAGACTCCCACATGATCAACTGCGGTTCAAATCTTGGACCTGGTGGCTTGAAAATCAAGCCAGGTGCATGTGCGTGTGTGCCCACAATTCTGAGAGGAGGATGGAGGAGAAGGGACTGTGGCATGGTCATCCCTTTGTGGGGTGATTTTTCACTTTCCCTCTCACTGTCTCTGTCTCTCTGGCAAGTGCACATGTCCTATGTCAAAACAAACAGACAAACGAACAAACGACATACCCCCGACTTCACACACAGAGCCTATCTTTGGAAGAAGTCAGAAGAAACTGGCATGGTGCTTGCCTTGGTGGAGGGAGACAGAGTGGAAGGACAATCACTTCACCACGTGGCTTTTAGGCTGTGTGAAGTATTTTTCAACTCTGTGCCCTCATTATCTAGTTAATAAAATCAATAAGCAAAATACTAAATATCTATTAGAGAATTTGCTGCTTAAATCAATGAAAAATGAATATTTTTGTAAACAGAGGGATCTCTTTCTCTTTCTCTCTTTCTCTTCTCTTTTTCTAAAAAATTTCTCTCAGGCTTAAGGTTATAAACGGGCAGATTCAGAAGAGGTAAGACCTGAACTGTGAAGGAAAAAACACACTTTTCTAGATCGATGTCCAGAATCACTGTGCTGAGAATGCGGGAAAACAGAAACAGACCCCCAACAGCGTAGAATCGGGCCCACCGACTCTTCCCTCTCTCTCCTCCCCCTCTTTCTTCCAGAGGAAGAGGCAGGGGGAGACGGGCATCCTTCCCAAGGCCTCGCGCCATGGTCCTCCCCCAGCCTCCCAGGCAGCCAGGGTAGCAGGCCCGTGCCAGGCCTGTGCAGCTGCACCTGAGAGCTGGCCCCTGGCCTCTCATGGGGACCCCGCACTCAGCATGGTGCCACCACACGGGGCCCTGGCTTTGCCAAACGGCCCAGTCGGCAGCTCTCCCTCCCTGTGTCTCCTGACGGCTTGGACCCATTTTGCTCGCAGGCTTTGAGAGACAGACTAGCAGCTGGGCCCGCTGCCTGTGCTGAAATGCCTAAGCACACTGCCTCTGGTTTTCAGCCGAGGTCCCACCAGGGGGAAGGAGGCACGTGAGCACTCTGCAGATGGAGCAGGCAGAGTCACACGGGATGAGCCAGAGGGACAGGAGGAGGAAGGACGGCTGCAATGGAAGACGCCAGCAGGTGGGGACACTGTGCTTGCCCGGGTGCTGCGTGCCACTGCGAATCGCAGGCGTTCAGGCAAACAGCCGGTGCGTCTAGAGCATTGGCCAAGACGTCGACCCGATGCAACACACGTTCTCTTCAGTGTTTAGGTCGGGGTGTGAACAAAAACACCTGTCCCCGGTGTGCACGGGTGGGATGTTCTTTCCTGCCCGAATCGCTGGCCTTGCCCGAGCAGTCGCGGCAGGGAGCCAGCCCGTGGCAGTTGGTGCTGCCGCCTCAGAGCCTCACTCGGGGCAGGTGGCCAGCCGGTGCCATTGGGACCTGCCGACTCAGAGCCCCGTGACTGCTGGTGGCTGGGCACTCTCAGCGAACAGTTTGCAGAGAAAAGTGGCCAGGATTTCTGCAGTGTCTGCTTCCTCGGGGAACCAGCGGTTTACAGTGGTTCAGCGTGTGGCTTGCAGTTGGACACGCAGGGCAGTAGCCGCGGATGGGCGGCAGCCTCTGCGCCTGCATGCCTGTGAGTCGCTCTCACTGTAGCGAAGCCGGGTCGCTTGCGTGGAGAAAGCTGCTTTGGGCAGTGGTTAATGCGAACTCCTCCAGGGCAGTTCGCCCATTTTCATTCCTTCGAGCATCCTCCCTGGAGCATCCCGCCGGCCCTCTTGTGCCGGAGATTAGAGTAGCCTCAGGGAGGTCAGGAGAGACAAGGGCGACCTCTCCCCGGCCTGCAGGAGCAGGGAGCAAACCGCAGGCCTCGATCAGGCCAGTGCTCCGGCTCCGTGGGTGAAGCCGTGCTAGCAGCCCAAGCTGCCGCAGGGCTGCCCAGTGGAGCTGAGCAGGGTGGCCGAGCCCGGCCACGTGGTCACGCCGTCTGGAGCATTTACTCTGTTCCCTTCATAGAAGCAGTTTTCCTACCCCTGGTCTAGAGGGAGCAGGGAGACGGGACAGCGGGGTTACCAGGGAGGCTGATACAGACGGCTCTGGGGAGCCAGCCGGGGCAGACGGGCCCCGTGTGGGTCCTCGCTGTTGAGAACTGCGTCTCTGCCTCAGGGAGCACCTGCGCGTTCTCTCTGCCTTGCTCGCCGCTCGTCTCTGCAGAGGCCTTCACGCGGTTTCCGTGAACCCCTCGGCCCTTGCCATCTCCGGTTCTTTCGCGGCCAGTCAGAAAGGCCTTCTTTTCCCCCAGACGAGGAAACCAGTGATCGAGACTCAACAGCTGACAAGCTGACCATGGGTTTTCTGAAGCTTCTAGAACTGGTGAAGGAAGCTCCAGGTCCCCTGTGGGGCGTTCTGGAGACCCACATGGTGAAGCTCGTGTCCTTGGTGGTCATCTGGCTCACACTGCAGGAGGTCTGTGGCCTTTCTGGAGGGCATGTGCCATTGGGCTTTGGAAACTCGGGGTCAGGGTTCGAGACCTTTTTCCTTTCCTTTTGCACAGCCTGGGCCTCCTATAGCAGGTGGGGTGAGCGTCATTTAACTCTCATTCTCTCCTGACCCGGAACGTGCTGATCATGGTCCGGAGACCACCGGCCACACGAGCCCACGGCCTTGCGCACGCCCTTGCAGGTCTCTCTGATGAACTCCGTCTTCTATGTCCTGTGGGTCGTGTCCCTGCCCTGCTCCACCCTACGGCCCTACGCCTCCTGTGTCTCCACGGCCTGGGCCTGTGTGGTGGTCTTCTGCAAGACCGTGTTCCAGCTGCAGAGAGCTGCGCCCACCACCCTGTCTTCAAGCTGCTTGGAGGTGAGCTTGGCCACACCAGATCTCCTCCCCAGCCAGGCGGGGGCTCCCTAGGGGCGGCCGGGGCTGCGTGTGGATCACCCAGGTGCTGGCCCGAACAGCCTTCTTCAGGAGAGTTGTGGGGTGAACCATTACAATCCGCGTGATCTGGGAGGAGCCACCCGGTGCGACGTTTGCCATTTTAGAGCCGAGAATGGCGGTCCCAGGTGGGAGGAGCCTGGAGACTCTCCCAAGAGCACACATTCCATTCATTCATTCATTCCACAAACACGGATGGCACCTGTTCTGTTGGGCACTGCACGGGAGGACAAGATTCCAAAGTTGGGACAAACTGCAGAGAAGGCTGCAGTGAGGGGAGTCAGAAGGGATCAGGACAGGGAGGTCGAGAGAACCCAAGTGTAGTGGAGGTCCGAGCCATGAGGGCATGGAGGGATGAGCCCTCCCAAGGAGGGGATGGCTGATGCAGGGCCCCACTGGGGCAGGCAGGGGAGTCCAGCTCCGTGGGCTCCCAGTCGGTTAGCCTGTCCACTGTGCCTACGAGAGAGCAAAGTGGGGGAGGGTGGGAGAGAGAAGCAGATCTCAGGGGGCCCTGAAGGACCTCCGCTGGTACCAGGCATAGTAGGGGCGAGGGGACTCGTGAGAAGCTTAGCTCTCCAGGACAGGGCTATGACAGGGACAGCATGGAGGCCCCTGGGCTCAGGAGAGGGAGCACCAGGTCCTCTGCAGCTCCAGCCTGCCACAGGCCAGTCAGGTCTGGGGGTCACATGGTGGCGATGGACCTGCGAGGGATATGGGGACAATGGGTCTTAAGAGGGAGCTCCCCACAGGGCCACCAGCTGTGGCTGGGCATGGACACCCTCGGCCTCCAAGACTTGCAAAGAGGACATGGGCTTCTGGCTGCTTCTCTTCTTGGGGGAGCTACAGCCCAGGGAGGCGCAGAGACCTGCCCGGGGTCTTGAGCACAGCCTTCTTCCTGGTTTTTTGGGGGCAGCTATGCAGTCTGTCCCTTCTGTGACCAGACCAGACACGGCCACCTCCAGATGCCCTGGTGTCATCCTGTCTGCCCCAGGTATGGCAAGGAAACAGGACACATCCCCCAGCCAAGCTCGCCGGACAGTCAGCCCTCCACGTGCAGCCGGCGGACCTGGCACGGTGGCTCGGGTTCAGGAAGTGCGATGGCGTGGTGCTGCCTTGTCTGCAGGTAGGGGCGGGGCAGAGGGCCGTGCCCAGCAGTGTGGGATGTGCAGGCCTCCGAGCCTGTGTACCGGGAGGGCTGGAGGGGACCAAGTGTGGCTCAGGGCCTGGCACACGCTGGGTGCCCACTCAGCTGGCACCTGCTTCCCTGCCCAGGAACGTTCCAGCAGGTGATTACTATGTGGCCACCTGGCTCTGACTTAGCATTTGCTTCGACCACTTTGCCTAGAGAGGTTTCCGTGGTGGCTCGGAGAGTCAGAATGAGTAAGGGGATAGGGACATTAAAGCCGCCCAAACTGAACCCTGGTAGCATCTTGCCATATGAAAGGGAGAGCCACCATCTTGCCATATGAAAGGGAGGCTCTTCCAGGAGCTGCAAGCTCACCGGGGTTGATCCTTTGTGACCCTAACGCTTCTGATTCAGTTTGGCCTGAAGGTTGTAGCTCCATGTCACCGAGGAGGACACTGAGACTCAGAGAGGGGCAATGACTCATCCCAGGTCACCCAGAGGGATGGTGGGGCGTGAGTCCCGGAGGGGAGACTGTCCTGGGGGAGTCGTAGGGCCATGGGGACAAGCCCCCACCCTACTCCAACTGAGAGGTTGCAGGCCTTGGGTCCAGAAGGAGGGGAAGCAGGCAGCAGTAGGGACCTGCGGAACCCGAGCTTGCAGGGTGCAAGCAGGGCTGCCAACAAGAGGAGTGGGGTGATGACGGAAAGGGCAGTGGACCTGAGCATGCTGGCTGTCCCCTGCGTCCTCCCAAGGTGAGCGGTGCGTTTTCCGGGTTCCAACCCACCTGCTCTGAATTCTCTGGCCCCACACAGAAGGGGCCTTCTCAGTTGAAGACTCAGGCCTGGGCCTTGAACCACAGCCCAGCACACAGGGGCAGGCCCTGGTCTGGGCTGGCGCTGAGCCCCAGGCGTGTTCTCGTGGGAGGGGCATGCCAACTGGGCACTGTCTGCGCCTGATCTAGGGGTGCTGAGCCCTGGAAGATGAGGCAAGGTTGACCCTGCTCCTGCGGAAGGACTCGATCGTGTCCCACACACATGCCTGAGAAGGCGGGACGGGCAGACCCACTTTTTACAAGGCACGGCGAATGTGAACAAAGCTCTGCTCTCTCCAGGGCCTCCCCAGGCAGCCCTCCATGATTCCTTTCCCACAAGTTCTGGAGAGCTGGGATTTCATTGTGAGGCATTTATTTATTTATTTATTTATTTAGAGAGGTTTTTGCTACAGGGCGCATGTGCTCGTCAGAAAGACAGAGAAAGACGGAGAGACAGAAAGCAAGAAATCACCCCCAGGGGGGATGGCCACACCGCAACCCCTTCTCCTCCATTCTCCTCTCAGGATTTTGGCCACGCACGTACATGCGGCCAGCATGAGTTTAAGCCACCAGGTCCAGGACTCAAACTACAATTGACTGCATGGGAGTCCAGCGACATAGCTGTTATGCTAACTGCTGGCCTCATGAGGCATTTTATTTAAACAAGTCCTGGCCTCTGTTGGTTACCACTCGACCCCAGACCTTGACCCAGGAAGCTGATGGAAGAGGACCAGCCAGCCAAAGCCTAGGACAGTGGTCTGCTTTAGTCTCCTTCCCCTAATCTGCTGAGAAGTCGTGCAGGTCTTGGCACCGGCCCTGGGGGCTAATGCGATCAGAGACTCTCCCTGAAGTCCAGAAAGGCAGCGCAGACTCCCACGCTGTCTGCAGGGGAGTGGGCGCCGGACCGACCTCACTCTGCATCGCGGGAATTACTCAGTCCCTCGCCAGTGCCTGAGTGGAGGCACACAGGGCACCCTGATGTCTAAATATGATCTCATATGGCAGTCCTTTTCATTTTGGTGTCACTTAATCAATAGGGAAAATGCAGCATATTTATAATCAACAATTAGGCTTTCAAGGCGTTCCCTCCCCATCACTCATCAACAAACACCCTTTAGAAACCCCTCCCCAAATCTGAGTCATGCTGGTTCTGTCAATCAAGCTTCCTGAGCATAGACTCCCTGGCATGACTACAGCATTAAAAAAAAAAAAAAAAAAAAAGTCCCCCTAAGGATGATTTTTAAATCTTCGCACGCACGCAGCAAGATGGATTTCAGTATTAACCGGCAGCCTTATTAAGAGCTGGCGGCTGGGGGGGCGTCCTGGCGGGTGTGCGTTGTGTACATATTGTATATAAAGTGATATAATCTAGCAAAGTAAATGAACTCCTTATGATTGGCTTTTTAGTTCCTGCTTGTCAGGATTCATAACTATTGAAGCCTTCTCTACCTGGATCAATTGGAAAATCAATACCTTGGTATTTGTGGAGAGCGTCTCTTACAGGAAGAAATGAAAGGAAATGTTTGGGAAATGCTGAGGGAATTATTTAGCCCATCTGACAGCCCAGGTTTTAAAGCAGTTCCTCTTTTCCCTAAGAGTTGGTGCTGAAATAAACACTTTCCCTGGGAAGTGGGGAGGCCAGCTGGGAAGGCCAAGGGTTTCAGTCGCCCAAACCACAGTCCCATTTGAAGAACTGAGAATGGGGAGCTTTTCAGCCGTTTGCCTGATTGACAGCCCTGGCGAAACCAGGCTCCATCTTGGTGGTGCTAACCCTGGGTTTGCTTCGCTTGGCAGAACCAGCTCGCCATCCTAGCCCTCATGACCTTGGAGGTGACAGTGAGCCGCCATCAAAGGTTCTGCCGGCTTCAGACCCAGCTGGCAGAGCCCCCCACTGGCGCCGTCACTGACACCATCACTCGGGCCCATCTTGACCACGGGCTGAAGCGTGCGCTGCAGTATTTCGTCAACTATGGATTCTACAAGTTTGGGCTGGAGGTGACGTCCCTGCCCCTGCCCCACTCCCTGGGTGGTTGATGGTTCTGTGATATGAGAAGTTAAACACACACGTGGCCCAAGAGACGGCTTCACAAAGTTCATGGAAAAGCACGTCATGAAAAACTGTGTGGAACCCACATTCTGGGCACCCGAATAAGCTCACACCGTAATTCCATTATTCCATGAACTTCTTGAAGTGTCCTTTAACACACGTGTGTCACACTAATAGTGGAGAGGATCGTGTTCCAACTCCCGCGACCCTCACTCTCCTCAAGAGTTTCCTCTTCCTCTCTCGTCCTGGCCCATGGAGGATTTTGAAGGAAATGCCAACCATTGTGAATAGTTCTAAAATGACACAAACTTCTCAAAAACCATAGATACAATGCCATTATCACACCTAAAAATGAATAGCCCCTCAACATCGTGTATCGAATCTGTGTCCAGGTTTCCCAGGTTGCCTCGTAACTGGAAAAGAAAATGTCTCAGTCCAGATCCGGGCAGGGCTGTGAGTCGTGAGCGGCCCCCTGGCCGCTGGCCGTGGTCTCAGTCTGCAGGTGCTTACTCCATCCTGCCATTGGTGGTGGAAGGCGCCTGCTCAAATGCTCCAGAATCTGCAGTCCATGTGTTGCTGATTTTATTCTGAGGGGTTCATTTACAATGGGGATGTGCTGACTCTACCATGCATTCTCTTCCTCATGATTATTTTTTCCTTTTTATTATTATTATTTTTGCCGTGGGGCACATGCACTTCCTGGAGAGAGACAGATGGAGGCAGTGAGAGGAAAGTGAGAAATCGCCCCCCAGGGGGATGCCACGCTGCAATCCCTTCTCTTCCATTCTCCTCCTGGGAATTTGGGCACGCACACACACGTGCCAGCTGTGAGTTTCAAGCCACCAGGTCTGGGACTTGAATGTGGTGGGCCGTGTGGAAGTCCAGTATCTTAGCCATCATGCCACCTGCTGTCCCCTCTACCATGGGCTCTTTATGTATTAAAGACTTCTATAAAGAGAACTTACCCTCAACAGTTATGAGATTCCCCGATACAGCTTTTATTTTTTAGAAAAGCAAGATAAATGCTTGATTTTTCCCCTTTATTTATCAGTTTTCAAAACCCCGTGTTGGTTTCTCAGCCTCCTCCCCAGGTGCACAGTGCATTCCCAATGTCCCATGAGTTGCAGTTCTCATCCTCCTAGTGCTCAAACGGCCCCTATCAGCCCACGGCGCCATCGCTGTCACTGGCCAGAGTTTCTGCAGTGGGTCCAACCCTTACCTTCCATTCTGCACAAATCTCAGTCCCCGGAGAGTCTCGTGGGGCCATGCGGTGCATAGACGTCTCTGTCTGTCACCTTGCAGTTGACAGAGTCTGCCTCATTTTCCTGCTGTCAGTCGCCTAACAGATCGGGCCTGATTATTTAGCCAGTTTGCTAAGACAGCAAATGGTCGTAATGAATTTCTGGGCTCTGGGGGTACTTTCCAAAGACGATGAAGTAAAAACAAACAGACCCAACTCCCCACCCTCCCCCAATCCCAGTGATCTTCTCACCCCAGGGCCCGTGGTGGCCATTTCTGTCCCTCGGCTGTCCCTTCTGCTGCTCATGGACTGGTCTTGCCTCTCCCCTGCATCCCAGCTGTGTTTCGTGGCCGCCCTCAACGCCATAGGGCAGCGCATGGATCTCTACGCACTCGTCCACGCCATCTGCTTGATTTATTTGCTGAATCTTCGGCGGAGAAAAGCGATCGCTGAGGCCTGGCCCAGATACTGCGGTTTCCTCATCAGTATTATGGTCTTGCAGTATTTCCTGTGCCTCGGGCTGCCTCCCGCCTTCTGCAGGGGTGAGTCTGACCACCGCCTGCCTACCTGACTCTGGGAAACGCTGCTTCGGCGAATGCTCACTTCCTGTAGATGTAGGGGTATCCCTGGCATGGGGGCAAGGGATCCTGCTCCTTGGCGTCTCTCTGGAGGAGAATTGCTCACTGGGGAACTGTAGGGCCACAGACATGATCTGGCCCAACACCTGAGTCACTTGGTTCTGAGGGATGTCTTCCCGCGGTTGACATAGCCACAAAGAGTCGGCCGCCGGTCCAGCCAGGCTTGCCTGGAGAGGACGAGTTGGTTCAGGTGTGTCATGAAAGGCAAGCAAACCCCAGAAGGGCCAGAGCTAGGTGCACTGTACCTCCTCCGTGGTTCCCACCGCTTTCCTGCCGGCAGTCCAGTTAGGCTAACCTGAGCAGACAGCAGCATCTCCACTGCACGGACGAGGAAGTGAGGCCGCCCAGCAGGGCAGAGCCACACGCCAGGTGGGTCAGGGCTCTGCCCCTCACGCCCAGGCGGAGCGGCTCTTGGTGGCACGGGTCAAGGAGAACTTGGTCTGTGGGTGGGGCCGGTCGTGTCTTCAGGTGTTTAATTTCAACGAGTCCTGACCCAGAACTCCCACCTGGAGTCAGACGTCCCCCTCCAGGGCTAGTCTTAGATACCAGCTGCCCAGCACACGCCTAGTCGTTGGGAGCTTTCCAGGGACACGTCTGACGTGGCCACGTGCTTCCGCCCTGAACTCCTTGGCTTTTGCTCTTCCTCCGTCCCTTCCCTCTTTCCATTCTTCCTCTCCCGGTTCTAGCCCCGGCCCTCCCGCTCTCCCTCTTGCTGTCTTTCTCATCCTCCCACATCCCGTCGGAGTGCCCACGCCCACTGCCCCGCTTGCACGCTCTCCCGGGAAGAGCTGACGCCTTCGGCCCTTCTCTCACCTTTCACAGCTGCGTCCACTCCAGCCAGCCCCTGGCTCCCAACATGAGATGCCTCTGGACGTGTCACTTGCAGGTCGCAGCGACCACCCAGCCCCAGGACTGAGTGTGGGTGGGCATTTGAGTCCTGGAGCACCGGGACACCATGAGGCAGCAGCACTGTGGGCCCCCAGGCAAACCCGTTGCCACATTTTTAAAGCTGTTTCCAGCATCCTCTCAACTTAAAGCATAAGTCCTTCCCTCGACCCTGAAATTGTATCCGACATCTTAGTCATTCCATATAATTGGAAAGAAGCATTAATAGAACACAGACTCAATGATCTCTAGAAAAATAATGAAGACAAAAAGAAAATTGCCTTTCCTTTACAGATTACCCATGGAGAACCACAAGTACAGGAATACATGCAAATTTCATTAAGTGGTTGTATCTCCCAGACTTTGCCAAAACGCCGGATGCCAATTTGTTACTCTGTGAGTACCGGGGGTGTCTGAGTGCCTCTTCACTTCGGGAACTTTAGATTGGGCAGGCAATGGAGAGCAGAGCATGCCAAGTACTGCTCCAGCCATCCTTCTCTGCCAATCTTCCTTCTGAGGTTCCCCCATTCCATCTTGTAATCACCCAGACAGTACTCAGCGAAGAAATATAGTTACCAGGTTCCAAGGTCTCCATCTAATTAAAAAATGCTTTCATTAGAGAGAATTTTAATTCATAAGCGTTATTCTGATGGGGTGAAGGGGGGTAGGACTTTCAATAGATGATTTAAAACCCAGAGATTTAGTAATGTACTAAATAAAAAGTGGACGGCTGATTTGCAAATAAGAGTTCCAGAAAAGGCACCATAAAAGGCCTTCTGAAATTTAGCTCCTGAAAGCTGGTACTCTTCTGCCCAGAAGTAAGCAGTTTTGTGTTCTTTTCGGGGCTGCCCTTTTCACTTAATCTAGAAAACATCTCTCCTCTTGAAAACAGGCGGAGCCACAGACGGGCAGTAACTGCGAGAGGAGGGAACTGCAGACTTTCATGTCCTGTGCCCATTTCTTGCCTTTTCTTTGCATTCAGTCACATGAAAAAAATCCATTTTTAATTCATCCATTCATCCATCCAATGCTGATGGCCCCAAACTGTGTCCCACAGCATGCCCGAGGCGTGGCGACACCACAGTGAGAAAGCGCAGGTGCCTGCTTGGCAGGGCTCCGGAGGTTGGAGGATGAGGAGAGGCCCCTCGGGGAACCTGGGACTGCACTGAGGCCCCACACACGGCAACCAGCTCCCTGCCCACGGCTCTGGGCGCACACGTTGAGCTGGCAAGGGGACTGGAGGCTGAGTAGCAAGCCTGTGACCTTCTGGAGACTCAGAGACCTTGTTCTGTCTGACCCTGCCCCACACCGCCCCCAGAAAGGAGGGGTGACAGGGAGGCACCCAGGCAATGAACTCTGAACCTGCCTCACTGGTCCCAAGAACGCTGCCTACCAGGTGTTCCTGGGGGGTGGATGCCGCGTGAGGTCCACGTTGGGGCGGGGCAGCCACGGCCCAGAGCCACAACCTCTTCCTTTGTCGTCACAGTTGACTTCCTGCTCCTCCTCGTGGCCTCCCTGCAGTGGCAAGTGTTTGTGGACGAGAACAGAGCCTCGGTGAGGGTGCTGGCAGGGGACAACGTGGAGGTCGGCAGACAGCTGAGGCCAGAGGACCTTGCCCAGCTCAGCCCTGTCCCCAATTTCATCTTCTGCCGGTGAGGACTGAGACCCTGGTCTAAGGCACCCTGGCATGTGGCCTTTCTCCGTTCTCCTTCAGCATTGTGGGCTGAGACTTGCTTCCTTTGGAGAAAAGATTACTATGATTTTCTTTTTGTTACGTTTTAAAATAGTTTAAATTGAGCTCTAATTTACATACAGTAAAGTGTTCAGTTCCTAATGATAGTATTCAATCAGCCTTGAGAGGCGAATCAAGGCGCGGAGCATCCTCGTGGTCCCGGGGTCCTCTCATTCCCCTTCCTGGTCAGCTCTTCCCCAAGGCACCACCAACTGGATTTCTAGCAGCACGGTGGCTTTACCTGCTCTAATACTCCATCTCTGGGGCCACAGGTGTGTTCTTGTCTGGCTTCTTTTGTTCGCCATAACATTTTTGAGATCCATCTTTTTTTTTTTTTTTTAAGGTTTTTGCCTAGGGTGTGTGCGCTCACAGAGAAAGGCAGTGGGAAAGAAAATGAGAAGTCGCGTTCCCCTGGGGGACGGGGGCAGGATGGCCAGGGCACAATTCCTTCCCTTCCATTTCTCCCCTGAGATTTTGGAAATGCATACACATATGCCCGGCTTTATTTTCAAACCACCAGATCCAGGATTAGGGAGTCCAGTGTCTTAACCACTATACCACCCGCTGACTTTGTAGAGTGCATCTGTGGGGGCTCCTTTTCATTGTTGCATAGTCTTCCATTGCATGAACATACCACAGTTGGATTATGCCTTTGTGAATTGAATGGATACATCTGTGTTGTTTATAGCTTCGAGCGTATCTAAATAACCTTCTCTGAAGATGTTAAGGCCTTTGGGAACGTACGTTTTTGTCTCTCTGGATGAATAACTAGGAGTGGAATTGCTATGACATGGGGTAAAGGTACATTGAGTGTTTTAAGAAAAATTGCCAAAGAGTTTGCCGAAGTAATCAGACTATTCCCTGGGCTCTCAGGTGGCTCCCCTCCTCCGTGCGTGTTGATGGGCCCCTGCTACGGGCTAGCCACCATTCAGGCGTTCAGAAGGTCGACCCAGCCCCTGTCATGTGTCAGAATTGTTCCAAGTGCTAGGAATTCAACCAGGCCAACCTTTGTCCCTTTTGTGTTGGTGTTGATGTTTTAGAAATTGACAGACACACGGAAAAAGGAAAGGTCTGGAATATCCAAAAGAGTTTTGAAAAAGAAGAGTAGAGTTGGAGGACTTAACGCCGCCTGATTTCAGGACCTGCTTCAGAGTTTAACAACCCAGGTCATGTGTAGCATTTGGTGATGGGCTAGGCACTTGGCTCAGTGCAGCAGCTGTCAGAAAGGATAATCTTTTCAAGAGAAGCTTCTGGAACAACTAGATGTCCATGTCTCCCAATCCCTGCACACAAACTCGAAAACACAAGAAACCCTGTGTTCGTGCCAAATCCAAGAGTTACCTTGAAATGAACACAGACCTAAGTGTAAAGTCCAGGCCATAAAAGTTCCATTAAAAAACATGAAAAACGATTTGTGACCTTGGGTTGGGAAAGGACTTAAATATGACACAAAAAACATGAGCCATAATAGGAGAAAAGTTGATAGATTGGCTTTCATCCAAAATAAAATAAAACAAAAGCCAAAAAGATTTCTGCTTAAAAAAGTTTTTTTTAAAACATTGCTATAGACTGAGTGCGCTCACTGAGGAGAGACTGTGTGGGGAGGGGTGCAAGAAAGCACCCCAGGGAAGGCCATGTCACAATCCCCGCTCCTCCATTCTCCTCGCAGGATTTTGGGCACGCACACACACGTGCCCAGTGAGTGTGCCTGTTTTTTCAAGTTGCCAAGTCTGGGACTTGAACCACACAGCCAGCCTTCTGGGACCCTGCCACCTTAACTACCACACCACTGGCTGGCCCCAAACTTCAGTTTTTAGGAGATTCTAGTAAGATCATGAAAAGAAAACCCAAAGACTGGGAGAAAATGTTTGCAGAAGACATGTCTGATAGCGGACTTGTATCAGAATACATAAAAACTTCAGAGCTCAATAGCAACAGAATTTCGATGGAAAAATGGGCAGGGCCGGCAGGTGGCGTGGTGATTAAGGCACTAGACTCCTACATGGCAAACCGGTTCAAGTTTGAGATCTGGCAACTCGCTTTCTCACTTGCTTTCTTAAAGTGAGAAACTTTCCCCCTCTCTGTGTCTCTCTCTGGCCAAATTAAAAAATAGTAATAGTGAATTTTAATAAAATAATTCTTTAAAAAATGGGCAAAAGATTTAAATAGACATTTAATAAAAAGATAAGCATATTTCAAAAAGATGCTCAATATTATTAATTATTAGGGAAATGCAAATTAAAAATTAAAATGAGCTATGACTGCACACTTACTAGAATGGCTAAGAAGAAATAAACAAACGAACCCCGAAACCCCACGTGCATAAAGAACACAGAGCCACAGGGACTCCCACCTGTAACCGGCAGGAACGGGCAATGATAGGGCTGCTTCGGAAAATGCCTTGACAGTTTCTTATAAATTAAATGTACACTTCCCATATGGCCCAGCCATTCCACTTCCACATATTTACCCAAATAAAATGAGAACGTGTTCCACATGAAAAACTCCTATGTGAAGTTTATGGAAGATGTATCCATAGTCATCTCAAACTGGAACCTAAATGTCCACTCAGTGCATGTTGACTAGCAGATTGCAGCGCACTCGTACTCCGCAGTAACAGGTACTAGCACATGCAACAGCGTGGGTGACGGGCCAGCGGCTGGTGTGGCAGTTAGGGCAGCTGGATCGCACACGGCCAGCTGTGTAGTTCAAGTCCTGGACCTGGTGGCCTGAAAAACACACTGAGCACATGTGCATGAGTGCCCAACATCCCCAGAGGAGGGAGGAGTGGAGAAGGGATTACGGCATGACCATGCCCATGGGGAGGTGCTTTCTCAGTTTCCTTCTCTCTCTCTCTCTCTCTCTCTGGTAAGTGCATATGCTCTCTGGCAAAGTTTTTTTTTTTTTTTTTTTTTTGTGAAACAAACAAACAAACAAACAAAACCATGGACAACTCTTAAAAGCATTACACCAGATACAAAAGGCAACATACTGTAAAATGCCATATATAATATATATATATTTTTGTATGTGTGTGTGGGGAAAGGTTTTTGCTATAGGGAGCTTGCGCTCACCAGACAGAGAGACAGAGAGGCAGAAAGCGAGAAATCACCCCCCGGGGGGATGGCCACGTCGCAATCCCTTCTCCTCTGTTCTCCTCTCAGGATCTTGGGCACGCATGCAAACACACCCGGTGTGAGTTTTTTTTTTTTTTTTTTCTTTTTTTGCCATAGGGAGACAGAGAGGCAGAAAGCGAGAAATCACCCCCCCGGGGGGATGGCCACGTTGCAATCCCTTCTTCTCCATTCTCCTCTCAGGATCTTGGGCATGTACGCACACGCACCTGGCATGAGTTTTAAGCCACTGGGTCCGGGACGCGAACCGTGGTTGACTACGTGGGAGTCCAGCGAATAGCCATTACGCTAACTGCTGGTCCCGCCATATATAACATCTTTAAAAAGGCAAACTTGCAGAGACAGCAAACAGATAAATGCCTGCCTGGAGGCGGGGTGGGGGCTGGTTGCAAAGGGTACAGGAAACTTGGGGAATGATGGAAATGTGTTCTCTACCGATTGTGGCGGTTGCTACGAGACTGTATGTGTTTGTTAAAACTCTGAGAACTACATGCCCCAAAGAAGGGGTTTGCTCTGTGCAAGCTGACGCTCAGAGCCGCGCGCAGGGGCTGTTCCGAACTTCCGCAGGTCCACTGCCCACCGCCTGTCTACTGCCGCCTCTGCTTCCTCTTCTCTCTGTGCTAAGGTGATCTGTGGGAGTATGTTTGTGTCCCTCAATCAAGTGACACCACCTTTGCTTTTTACACACCTCTTCCATCTCCTAGGTCCTACTTAGACTTGGCCAAAGTCGCTGTTTTTCGGTATCATTTCTGGTTTGTGCTTTGCCTGGTTTTTCTCACGGGAACGACGCGCATCAGCATCTGGGGGGCAGGGTACCTGGTGGCCTTTGGATACTTCATGCTACATGGACACCGCCTTCTCTTGAGGCCTGTCAAGTTCATCCTCAAGCCCCTGGACCGGCTGATCGCCTACTCAGTGCTGGTGGTTGCTGTGAAGACCGCGCTTTCGGTACGGGAGAGTCCCTCTTTCAAGGGTGCTCTTTGTTTTCCTAGCCTGACTGTCTTAATACCCTAAAAAAAGGAACTGCCAAAACCAACAGTCATCTTAAAAGGGCTTTTTCAAAGATATGTTTACCCAAGGTGGGAAACGTGAAACGACCCTCTGCGGGTCCCGCATGGTGCAGCTGTGCTCTCTGGAGTGGTTTTTGATGTCGAAGAGCTCTGAATCTAAAGGAAACCCAGAGGTCAAAAGGACGCTGTCAGAGAGAGTGCTGTCTGAGCGAACCCCAGCCTGGGGCGCTGTCGCACTCCCAGGGCTCGTTGGTCACAGAAAAGCCCGCTCTGTCCGTGCACATACAGCACCGTTCCATCGAAATAATACAGAGCAGAGGAAAGTAAGCCGGAAGGGTGAAGGCTGGGGAATTCTTGGTCTGAAAACTAGAAGGGGTTTCAAGAGAGCATCCCCCCCACCCCCAGCATCTTGAACTGGGAAGACTTCCCACACGACAGATACAGACAGAGAAATACAACACGCACCAGATGGTGTCCGCGAGCCCGAGACTCCTGTCTCCAGACCCCGTACCAGCTTCTCTGTCTCATACGCTCTGCCCTTCACGTGAGCTGGCAACTCAGCCACGTAGCCAGCTCCACTCAGCATAATGGAGTTGTTCTTTGGAGGTTCCGAAGCCTCAGGTCATCATTCAGAGTATCAGTCCTCCGCGGCCTGAAACTTCCGAGTGATTGCCTGGCGGGTCACGAGCTTTTACTGTAAAGGGCGACGGCCATATTACCAATTTAGCTTAGTGCGTCCCCATGGGCGGAGACACCACAGTGTCCTTCAGCGTAATCCATCTCAGGGTTTCATCCTCCTAATGGCCAGTAGGTCTTTCTTTGTGAAAACGCACACACACGGATTACGAGAGGGCAGTCCTCAGAGACGATGTAGTGGCTTTGCTCTGAGAACGCTGAGAGCGAGTCAGGGCCTGGCTGCTGGCCAGCCGTTCTTGGTTTCTCCATTTTTTAGGCTCAGGCTGTATCTGTGGCTGCCTGTGTGTCTGAAGAGCACGGCTCGATTTCTTTGTTGGCCAGTGAAAGGCTACGGTTGTGGGTGACTAATGCACTCAAGGTTATAACGAAGGCGGCAGATGCCAGAGGAGGCCTAGCTGGGGAGCGCGGAGAGGCCCCGGGGAGGCCCTGCGAGCTTCTCTTGTGCTGCAGGTCGGCGCGTGTGTGTACCTGGAGGCCCTGCTTGTCTCACACTGCTGGCTGGTGCACAGTCTGGGCTTGTACTGCACGGTGGAAGGCTATCGGCGAGGTGAGTACCCTCGATGCCCCCTGACACGGCGCAGGACCCAGTGGAGAGTCACCTGTTATGTTAGAAAGAAGGTCAAACAGAGAAGAATGGAAAGACTATGACAGGGGTCACTCACACCCCACGGAGACTACAGCGGGGAATTTCTCTGCGTCTGTATTTACGTATGCACGTGCGTAAGTGCGTTTATGAGATCTCTGAGACCACTAAGACCTTCTCCTCCATGACGGTATCGGTGCAGCTAAGAAAGTTAACTGTGACCCCTCATATCCTCTAGTGTGGCGACTCCATCCCGGCCTTCCCAAGTCATGGGTCACAGCCATTGTTAGTCTTTCAGTGTAGGCCCTGGTACACGTTCATGTGCGATGGTGTATTGTTCGCTAGACTTTGCTGTTATTTTAGGGCACGGGCACTTGCCAGAGAAGGAGCGAGAGAGAGAGACAAAGAGAGGGAAAGCAAGAAAGCATCCCCCGGGGGGATACCCACACTGCAATCCCTTCTCTTCCCTTCTCTTCTCAGGATTTTGGGCATGCACGCACATGCGCCTGGTATGGTTTCCAAGCTACCAGCTCTGGGACTTGAACCACACATTCCCAGCTGCTTTAGTCTCCACACCACCTGCTGGCCCACCAGATTCTTTGAAAGACCCTTAAGAAAAGCCCCAGTAGAACCTGGGTCACATTGCCTCTCTCAGGGGGAACCCAGAGACTGCCCTCAGAGGAGGAGGAGGACTAACACCCTGGCTCTCCCCGGGACCCAATGTCAGGCCCAGGGCAGACCTCAAGGCTGTGGGGGTGTGCCCGCCCTGCCAAGGGCACTTCCGCAGGGCTTGCGCAACTCCGGCCACCCCACTCCTCGCTGGGATCTGGCCTATTTGGAGAAGGAGGCGCCCGAGTTCTGCCTGACTGGAGCGGTGCCGGTTTCCCTTCGAGAATGAAGGCAGAAGGGAAACGTATTTGTTTTCTCTCTTGCCCTGAGTGACACCTTGGGTTAGGCTCTCCCTCTCTTAGTTTGTCAAGAAAATCCGTGAGGATGCACAGCTCATCTTTCCCAGACGGGGACGCAGCTCCAGGGCAGGCGGTGGCGAGGGCTGAGACGGGACGTTCCAGCTCCCGGATGACCTGCCCCACCCCCGTCAATCAGCCACACTGTTTACCCCAAAGGGAGGCTTTGGCATGAGTCACTCTGGGAACTTAACGGGTGGTGGGCTCCGTTCCAGGGAGGGACCTGTGCCGGTGGCAGAGTGGAGCAAACGCCACTCACTAGCCAACCCTGGCCCCATCTCCTCGTCTCCGTGAACATCGGCCATTTTGGCGGGAAGACGGAGAGCTGGGAAGGAGGGAGGCAGGGCGGGTTGTGCACGGCAGAGCTGGCACCCAGAGGTGCCCCATGGCACCGGCCTAAGGGCTTGCTGTTCCTCTCCCCCTGCAGCCATCCCGGAGGATGAGCCCTGCGAGCCCCCCAAGAAGGAGGCGGGGATCCTCTGGGACGCAGTGTGTTTCACCTTTCTGCTGCTCCAGCGGCGGGTCTTCCTGAGTTACTACCACCTGTTTGTGGTCGCTGACCTGGAGGCCACCGAAGCCCTAGCTGGCAGGTACCAGATGACCTCAGGAACATCAGACCTCAGGGGACATGAAGGAACCCTTGGTGAAGGATCACGACGCGTTAGCCATCCCAAAAGCCTCAGACCACCTGACTCTCCCCTCCCTTGGCAGAGGACGGGCTGGGCTCAAAGAGGGTCCTCTCTGGGCTGCCCAGCTCCCCGCACTGTCTTCTCAGCACATGCTGCCTGGGCCCAAGGTTCAGGTTGGTTCTGGTCACTCCCTGGAGGACTTCTGATTGAGTCAAGCCATGAGACCTGGGAGATGCCGCGAACAGAGGAAGGCCCTTTGCAAGTGGCAGTAGCCCCATGGCAGCAAGGGGCCAGGCACAGCTGTCAAGGAGGTTGGCCGAGTTCCATGAGGAGTCTGGGTCAACCCAACCCTGCCTGTTGGCCTGGGCTTTGGGGACGCAACCTCCTCCCGACCCCAGCCTCAGGTACCATTCTTGACTGAGTGTCTGCTTGCCTGACAGACCCTTCTAGGACAAGGCCTTCTCTGATACTAACCTGGTCATCCAGGCTATTCCCTGGTCTTTTGGGTTTTGAGGGAGATATCTGCTGTAGGGCGTATGTGCTCGCCAGAGAGACAGAGAAAGACAGGGAGACAGAAAGTGAAAAATCACCCCCCAGGGGGGATGGTCACATTGCAATCCCTTCACCATTCGCTGGGCTCAAAGAGGGTCCTCTCTGGGCTGCCCAGCTCCCCGCACTGTCTTCTCAGCACATGCTGCCTGGGCCCAAGGTTCAGGTTGGTTCTGGTCACTCCCTGGAGGACTTCTGATTGAGTCAAGCCATGAGACCTGGGAGATGCCGCGAACAGAGGAAGGCCCTTTGCAAGTGGCAGTAGCCCCATGGCAGCAAGGGGCCAGGCACAGCTGTCAAGGAGGTTGGCCGAGTTCCATGAGGAGTCTGGGTCAACCCAACCCTGCCTGTTGGCCTGGGCTTTGGGGACGCAACCTCCTCCCGACCCCAGCCTCAGGTACCATTCTTGACTGAGTGTCTGCTTGCCTGACAGACCCTTCTAGGACAAGGCCTTCTCTGATACTAACCTGGTCATCCAGGCTATTCCCTGGTCTTTTGGGTTTTGAGGGAGATATCTGCTGTAGGGCGTATGTGCTCGCCAGAGAGACAGAGAAAGACAGGGAGACAGAAAGTGAAAAATCACCCCCCAGGGGGGATGGTCACATTGCAATCCCTTCACCATTCTCCTCTTAAGATCTTGGGCACACACGCACACTCATCCAGCCTGACTTCAAGTTACAGGGTCTGAGACTTGAACCGTGGTCAGTCACATGGCAGTCCAGTGACTTTAGCCATCATGCCACCTCCTGGCCCCCACCAGACCGTTTTCTTTAACTGATGGGAGCAACTCCCTGGAGGCACCTTCGACTGCATTTTGACACTGTGGAGGGAAGGACTGACGCAGCGCCACAGGCCCCCCGCCATCCCTTACAGCGGTGAGGACTGTATTCCAGAACCTGGGTATGCCACTGCTCACACCGTGCCCCCTCCAAGGCCCAGCCCAAGACAGCCGGCCTCCATGCTGGCCACGCGTCCCTCTGTTTCAACTGTCCTGTCCTCCATCCACACTTGGCCACCGTGCTCTGGTGGCTCATACTCTCAGGGGCGCAAACAGGAAAAGTCCCTTCTGAGCGGCCGGCTTGGCCTGCCTTACTGAGTGACTGACCTGGTGCGAGATCTGATACAGGTTCAAGAGTCCCTTACCCCAAATTCTGGGGACAGGAGAGTTTTCAGTTTGGGATTTTTTTCTAATTTTGAAGTACTGGGTTGTTGGGAAAGTCATGATGTGTGTTTCCTGTCCTATGGAGACTGCACCCTGCCCTTCCCGACGGCCCGGTATTTGGATGTGCAGAAGGAGCGGTCTTGGGGGTGAGACCTTCGTCTAGCCATGAAATCCATTTGTGTTTCACACACGGTACCATATTTTTGTGTTGCAGTGCCTTGACTGTGACCTGTCCCATGAGGGCAGGTGTGACATTTTGGCTTTATGTCAGCACTCAAAAAGTTTCAGATTTTGAAGGATTTTGGATTTTGGATTTTCAGATTAGGGATGCTCCACCTGAAGTGGCTTTTACCAACAAAGCCCACAGAGACTATCTGGGCCATGGTGATGGCTCTGGCATCTTCTGTGTACACACAGGGGTGCCGAGCTGTTGGCGCTGTCCCTGCGCGAGGCCCTGGAGCGCCGTGAGGAGGTCGAGAAGAAGTCCCAGCTGGCCGCCCTGAGACAGTTAAGTTGGCTTTTCCACCTTTGTCCTGAAAGCAGAGCCCCTTCCAAAGCATGGTCTCCTCACAGCTGGTTTCTTCCTCCGATACAAGCCCCTTCCCCGTATATCTCCCTTCTTTTTGAATTTCACCAAGAGGAAAGTCTGCCGGGACTAGGAAGGCACCAGCATTCCGAGAGCAATGCCCCTAGTGAGCTATAAGTGTGGCCCATCGGGACGGGGTGGCGGGCGTTGCAGGCTGGTTCCTAGTGAGCTGTGAATGTGGCCGATCGGGACGAGGTGGCGGGCGTCGCAGGCTGGTTCCTCTCGCGGGGACAAAAGCAGAGCTCGAGTATGATGGACACGTGGGCTTCTCCAGGACGAACCATTCCATGAGGAAGGGATGCTTTGGCTCAGCTCAGGCTGTCTGCCTCGGCCAAACCCCCATCCCTGTCCCAGGCCATGCGCCCTCCACGTAGCCCTCAGGGCACCGGCGTGCACACCTGTCTGGTGCTTCCAGGAAGGCTGGAGGAGTACACAGAGGAATGCTTTTTGCTTATGGTCACATTCTTTATTTTAATGCACTGTGTGTGTGTGTAGGGGGGGTGGGGGGATGTATCTGGACCACTCAGTGCGGGACCCCCAGGATCCTATTGCTTAGGATGAAACTGCTTAAAAAGTGAATTGACTTCAAGCCAGCTTTGGAAATCAGATAAGGTGGGGACAGTGGCACGGTCACTGAGGTGGGAGTGCTGCTGTCTCGCTGCCTGCTCACGTCTTCACCCGCAAACTTTCTGAGCCAGCGGAGACCGCCCTAGTGCAGACCCTCGTCCGCACCGTGGCCCTTCAAAGTCGGCCAACCCCACTGAGAACCTGTGCCCGTGTTCTCAGTCAGAGAGGGATCGCCTCCCTTTCACTGCTGCTACTCGCCCCTTGAGCACCTCGGCCAGGATCCTGTCCACATCGGTGTGTGCAATGTTGGCTGTGGGGTCCAGGGCGTCAGTGAGGCCTTTCTTAACAAAGGGGGGAGTAATGGGGGAGTCCGGGCAGCTTGTCCTCGGCCTCAGTTTGGGGGAGAAGGGCAGCCCTGAAGCTCACAAAATGGCAAAGGCGTTTTGACCGGTGGAGGAGAAAATGGCTCTCTCTGTCTTCCATTGCCAGGATGGAGAAAATCAAAGCAAAGCAAAAGAAAACTGCTGGGCTGCAGCAGGCTGGCGGGGGGGCGCGCGGGGCCGGGGGGGGGTCCTGCCGCCCCTGTGAGCAGGACCTGCCCGGGAGGGGCGGAAGCGGAGAGGGGCGCCTTGGGAAGAGGTGAGATGCTGGTGCCAGGGGCCCGTGGGGGCCACCTGTCTCCGTGGTCCCTCTGCCACCCCAGGAGCCAACGAGAAAATGGATCTCTCCCTTCAGAACAGGAGTATAATGGATGCATTTAGAGTTGAGATTTGAAATTGTGCTTTGGCTTGAAATTCTGAATCCAAATCCTAGTTGAAGAAAGGACCCACCTTCATTTGGAAAACAAAAACACCCCGGGTCAAAAGGGTCCTTTTTGATTGGACCCCAGTACTCTAGCCACGGCTGTGTGATTTATTTTAAGTGGCCTCTCTGTCTTTCTGCGTGGAGATTTTTCAGAAACCATGACTTCCCCAAAGGACCAGGTGGTTGAAGGAGAAAAGCGTTCATTTCTTATTGTCACGAAATGAGTAAAATATCTTTCAGTTGCTATGTTTAAATTGGGCTGGATCTTCCCTTCCTTCAGTGGAACAAGTTGCAGAAAATGATGTCATCCCTTGGCCCGTCACCCAGCGAGATGGGCTGTTTTATCCGGCAATTTTCATGCAGGGTGTGACACACAGTTTACCCTTCCTAACGGGGGCGCACTGTCTGAATTAGTGACAAGACTGAGTTACGGCGCTTTGGAGAAGGTCCTCCATTTTAGTACGTTCAAGTCCATGAGGCCGAAGTGCTGGCCAGTGGAGCCTCTCTGGGGACTCTTCCTGACAGAGAGAAGCGCCCTGGGTTCACGGCCGAGCCTCCAACGTGAGAACAGCGTGCTCCTCCACGTGGGTCATTCCGTGAGACCGCGTGGGGGGAGGTAGCAGTCCGGGGCCCACTCTGATCTCTTCCTAGCGTACATGTTAGTGTTGACCCTTTTCCAACGAGCCAGAGGTGATGGCTGACAGACCTGGGGTTTCATCCCTGTTCAGGTGACCTCAGCATGACAGGAGAAAAAGAAAAGGACAAGTGGTGGCAGCCGTGGGCGACTCGTCCTTCCAGTAAGTAGGCTGGGCATGCCCATCGGCTGCCTGGGGCACTGGCTCTTTCGGGTATGGGGTTCCCTGAAACCCTTCTCTGGGAAGGGTCTGCCATTTGCACGTGAAGGATGGTGCCCAGAGGGTGGCAGCAGCTCCTGCGTCCACCCAATGTCATCGTGTCATCCGAAACAAGACACCAAACTTGTGCCTGGGTGTGAGGGGAGTGGGGGTTTCTCACCTAACGACACGTATGGTGACCCTGAGCGCCATAGTGAGGACCAGGCTTGGGAACCCTGTGGCCACCAGGGGAACTGATAGTAAAGGGAGATGCAGACCCACAGAGGACTGCCGGGAAGGTCTGCTCGGGGCAAGGGCAGACGTGTCTTGACAGCGATCGCCTCTGTGGTCACGCGCTCCGGAGGGAGGGACTCCATACAGTGCGATGGCCCACAGGGTTCTGGGCAAGCAGTGTGTCTCGGGCAAGGTGCCCCTGCAGTGGGGTCTGTGGGCAAGGGACAGAGGCTGTGCGTCCCAGTCACTGCTGTGGGTGTGTTTTCAAGTGACCCAGGATGGCAGCTATAGCCTCTTTGAGACCGACAGTGAAGAAGAGGAAGAGCCAGAAGGAGGCACTGAGGCAGGAATGGGCGACAGTCAGCCAAAGCCCAGCACGGCTTTCCAGGTAACTCCTCACCTAAGGACCCACAGGCGAGCCTACGGGAGATGCCCATCATGGCTGGAAGGGCAGCAGAGGCCCCTCACCTTCGAAGCTTTCTGTGCTGGTGGAAAGTTGTGCTCAACACTGATGCACCTGCGAGCTCCCAAGGCATGATGGGACTCATGAGCAGTAGGCCAGGCTTTGCGGTGCCGAAGGCCCAGAGCAGACTTTGAGGCTGGGTGTGTCTGGATCCTTTGGGGACTGTCTAACGATAAGACGTGTTGCTGTCACTAGGAGGCCCTGCCACGGGGCTGGTGCTTGCTGTGCGGGGCGCCCTGAGGTGTGTCCTCCCCTCCAGGGCACACTGCCCTCCCTTTCTTGGGGAAATAGGGGGAATTGTGACTCGTCCACCCAGTCTTGGCTTAAATCATTCCCGTTGCCATAGACACCTGCAAAGCCAAGGGGGAAACGGGTGCCCATGTGGAGATGTTAACCTTTGGATGTTTCAGCCAGAAGGGAAAGCGTCTGAAACAGCCTTTAAATTCCCTTCCTCTCTGTGTGTGTGCACGTGCTGCATCCTTAAGATTGAGGGTTTGTCCTAAGAGTGCATTTTACTTGACAATAATTACTCAGAAACATATGGAAGGAAGGGGAAATAATCTCATGTTATTACTCTTTGTTCCTGTCTTAAAGATCCATTTTTCAAAGAAAGTATTTTTTTCTTTTTGGCCACGCCAAAACTGCTTGAAGCAGCACAGGGACCTCTGTCACCACATGGGCCCTTCATACCCAGCAGCAGCGATTTTCCAGGAATGAGGGGTGAGCTCCTGTTGGGGTCAGCTGGTCGCTCCAATATCTAGAAGCCACCTCGAACAGCCTTTGAGTTCATGAACTGTTCTCCAAGCCTTCTCTCTTCCAAAAAGGAATTACTTGGAGCAAATATGACATCGATTTTCCATCTCCCTTGATTAGGCTCATGTGGCCTGATTTTTATTATTTAAGGCCAGCCGACAACGAGAATATGCAGTTAGCAGTGGTTCTAATTAGATTGCATGACCTTTAAGGAAGGAATGGGGGGTCTGGGCCCGCCAATGTCTGAGGCTGCCCCAGCCCCAGCTGGGTTCATGGCTCTGTCCCTGCAGCTCATGCACAGGGCCTGGACGAATGGCTTCGCGTCGGCGCTCACCATGAGGTGTCCGGGCAAAGGCGGGACGGGGAGAGGCGTGCAAGAGGACAGCCCACGGCGCTGCGGAGGTACACATCAGAGCGCTCGCCGCCACTTCTACCAGCAACTGGCCAAAAAGGGGCTCTGGCGTCAGGCCGTTCTGGCTTTCGCTGAGGTCCATGAACAACGGGCTGTGTGGGAAAGATGAGGGCAAGGCCCCTGAAGAAGCAGAGGGGTCTTTTGTCGGCTTACACAGGGGTGTGTTATGGAGGGGACAGGGGATATTTGCGGAAGAGACAGCCTGTGAGCCTGAGATCGGCAGGATGCGTTTTCCCAGGCCCGTTTTCCATAGTGGCCCAGGAGGGCGACGTGTGATCTGCACCGTGTGGTCTCTCCTGAGCACAGCGCCCCTGCAGCTCGCCCCCCGAGTCCACAAACTGTCCACAGGAGCGGGGCTAGTGTGCAGGCTTTCCTCCTTAGCTGGGAGATCGGGCCATTCCCTTGGTGCCCGTGGAGCGCCCGGGATCCTCAGAGGTGCCCGGTGTTCCGTACATTGAAGGTGGAGCAAATTTCCACGGCCATCAGCACGCCGCGCCTTCGATGCAGTCACCCCGCTAGGATGTCACGGGCATTTATAAAAACGCAGATGGAAAATAGATGGGATTTCCAGTGAACGTCTGTGTTGGTTTCCTTTGGTGTGGTCCAGGAGGTGAGAGGCTGGCAACTCACGAGGCTGAAGTTGAGGCCAAAGCGGGGAACCCAGATGGACCTGGTGAGTAGGGTGGCCCCCACATCCGAGACAGAGAAGAGCTGCAGAAGGACAAGGAATGGCCCTGAATCCGCAGGGGTTGACCGGTGTGCTCGGGGTGAAAATGGATGATGGCATTCTTAGACTTAGAAACAAAGTAAAACCCAACTTTAAATAGGGAATCCCGAACCTTCCGGGAATCCGATGGTGCTTAGCTAAGCCGGCTGTTACGTCCTGGCGTGGGGCCCTGCAGTCCTGCCCTCCTCACGGACGGGGGGGTCTTCGTTTCTGGGAGGAACTGGCGTGTAGAGGCCACCATGGACCCCGCCCCCACAGTGTTTCTTGCACTTGAAGATTCCTATGAGAACCGCTGCACGCTTGCCTCCTTGGGCTTAGAAAGACAGGCGTGTACTTAGAGGGTTGTGGCCGCGGCCGCCAGGCTGGGGCTGAGCGAGGGCTCACTGCATGCCGGGAACGGAGCCGGCACTCCCATACCAGATGACAGGCGAGAGTGAGATAAGGGCTCAAGGCCCCTTGGCGGGAAAGTGCTGGAGCCAGGACGAGAGGCCACTCCTCCCAGCTCACTCCTCCCCGCTTGCGGGGCCCTCTCCACCCGAGGTCTCAAGTGACACTTCTTCTGAGCATTTTTATCTGGGGTGGGATCCACTTCCAGCCTCCCCAGCGGTGACGGCCTGGACATATTAGCTAGCCTCTCGGCTCCTCCGTGTGCAGAAGGAGTGACACCCTGGCGTGAGATGGAGCCCGGGCATAAGTGCACGGGCGAAGGGTCTCACCCTGGTTCTGCCCTGGTGCCACAGCCTCACACCAGACAGGGCCTAGTCCCTGAGCCGAGGACCGTCTCCAGCAGGGCCTCCTGGAATGCAGCTCCTTACGCTCACTCCGTGGCCCGGAAGGGCTTGCTCGTCATCTGTTGTCTGCAGCACGTTCATGAACAGAGAGAGCAGTGGGCTTGGTGGTGGCCTGTCAGTTACTTCCCAGGGACCGTCATGGCTGGACGGTTCCATCACTGGTGACAGAAAGGCAGTGAGTCCGTGAGGCACCTCCTTGAGGGACACTCTCTCTCCAGAAAGCACGGCCCGAAGGCTCCAAACCATGGCCCGGTTCTCCTGGTTACTGGGGCAGGTGGTGTTGGATGACGTTACGGCGGCCCTGGGCACGCTGAGCAGAGAGCGCGACAGCGTGGCGGCGGCCTTGCGGGTGGAGCGATGTGCGTGGTGGCATGCTGTCAGTCAGGCAAGTCTTGCCACTGCAGAGGTGGCTTTCTTTAGGACGTCAGCCCCTTTCCATTACCCCATCCTGGAAGTGCTGACAGGTGACTTGAGCTCACGTGAGCCCCTGGCTAGGCTACGGAGGTCCGGCCTTTCCTCCTCCTGCCCCGCTGGCCACACGCCCCAGCCTGCAACCCACAGGGATCACCTTGCAGGGCCGCCTGTGCTCAGAACTCATAGGTCATTGGGACCAAGGCGGGAGATCCCCCAGTAATCCTTGTCCCCGGTTTGAGACGTGAATGGCAGAGATGGCATTCCAGTTTCCTGCGACAGAGGGGGGACCTCGCCCACTTCCTCTTCCTTCCCTCCTTATCCCATTTGTTTCCCTCTTT